CTAAGAAGATAGTACTCTTATGATTTTAAAATATTTTCAAAGGTAAAACAATCACTTTCTAGGCTCTGGAGTGGACACAGAGAAAACAGTCTCTGAAAGATGAGTAGCTACCCAACAGGCGTTGGAAAAGTGGGGCGTGGGTGACCTGAGAACAAGGCAGAAAGAACAGCATGTGCCATCACCCGGAGGAGAGGTGGTTGGTTCATGGTCAAAGGGGAAATGACAAGTGTTTATATATGGCCATGGACAGAGCATGGGGGAGCAGATGGCGAGAGAAAAAGCGAAGTACGTAGGGACAGGTTGTGAACGGTTGCTTTGTAAGCAAGAGATTTGAACTTGACCTTAACACGAACTCAATCTGAAGATTTTAGACTTGATATTTAGAATGATGAGAACCCACTGAAAGGTACAGTGACCAGAACTGCCTTTCAGAATGATGGCTGGAGCTACAAGGTCGGGCGAGACAAAAGTTTGGAGGCCGTTGTAATGATCTCCGACAAAAAGGACGGTGACCTGGCCAAATCGTGGTATGAGCAAACACTTAATACTTACGAAGGGCCAGGCATCGCTCTATGCTTTCATTTTTCACAATTAGGTAGGCACTCTTCACAAACATGATGAAGGCCTTATTATAGTCTGCATTTCGATGATGAAAAAACTGAGGCACAGTTAAGTGACTGACTGAAAGACCCATGTTGATAGGGAGCAGACCCAAGCGGTCTGGCTCTTAATCCCCACTGCATCCTGTCCTTGTGCTAAGGGGTTAAAGGAAAAGGGGGCGGATTCCACAGCTACTCGAGCCCCTGAAGTTGATGGGACTGGCGATTTATTACATATGGGGAGTTTGGAGGAGGGAGCAATCTGGCCGACTCCCAGCAGCTGGGCACATGACGGTGAAATACTGAAACGGGAAATGAGAGGAGGAGTGGATTGGGGGAAAGGCGATGTGCTAAAGTTTGAGGCGGACTGTGAGACCTTAAAGGGGAGATTTCCAGAGAGTTTTTGGCCACGAGGATCTGGACCTGAAAAGAGTATCTGGGAGTATTTGGGGGTGTCTGTATCGAGGGGAGGTTGGAGCTCAGGGACGAAATGAGGGGGCTGGGGTGTGGGGGCGGGGGAAAGAGCAGCGTCCTTAACTGGGGTGGGTCAGAGACTCCACCAAAAATCAATGTGTGCTGCGGACCTTCTTTGTAGCGGAAATGCCCATGCCCGTTTGTGTTGGTGCCCAGTGCCTTTCGGGGATGGAGGCTCTAGACTCCCTCCCCCACACCCCCTGTGGATTCACTGAGGGGCGATGTGTTTCAGGTTAAGAGTGACAGGGGAATGGGCTAGGGCAGAGCCTCGAGAATCACTGGCATTTAAACAGCAGGCAGAGAAAGAAGCTGCCAAGAAGGCCAGTGGGGAGGCTGGGACGGCAGGGGGAGAGGTGGACTAGTGGGCTCCTCAGCCTCGTGGGACTGGTTACATAGGCACGCTCTGCCTAGCACGTTCCCAAACTCCAGACTCTTAGAAAGAAAGCAGCGGAAACCGTATTTGTTTGTCCAAATAGATTCGGCGCAGGGAGCCACTCTTGCTGGGAGTGGTGGGTACGCTCCTGAAATTTGAGTTCTCAGGTGCCTGCTAGGGCCAATTTTGCAAGCTGGGCTTTCTAAGGATCGTAGATGATGCTTAGTCTTCTCTGCACACTCTCCCCAACCCTCCATCCTGTTACTTTTGACCACTTCTTCCACCACTCAAGGAGAAACACAACAGGAAGCCATATGATGTCATAACATATTCAAATTGTGCTAGGGTAGGCGTCCTGGGCAAGATGTTAGGTGTCCTAGTTCATAAAACCTTGTGACTTGGGAGCTGACTGGTTCGGGCATTGTTGGAAGGAGTATGGGTCTCAAGTAGTAAATTTGTTGATACCTTAGTGATCTTTGTAGAAGAAGAGCTTGCAACTTGGTTCACAGAGACGAGCTAGGTTGCCTGGTGAACCATGCTGTAATTTGTGCTTAACGGGCTGGCCAAGAGCCTGAGCCACTAGTAGTGCCCAGTCGGGGCAAGCACTTGTCTGAGATCCGTGGCAGTCAAGAGATGGCTGCACATTGGCTCTGAACCCTATAGAAAGCAAAAATCTAGGGCAATACTTTTCGACCTTACTTGCACGTTAAAATCACCCGGGGAATTTCTGCTTTTGCTTTTTTAAAACAAAAACCAATGCCCGTGTTCCATCCCCAGAGATTACGGTTTAATTGGAACGGGGTGGGGCTCAGGCGTCAGTATTTTCAAAGTCGCTTGTGATATTTCAGTGTGCCACTGGGTCTGAAAACCACTGATCTTGAACGAGTGCACAGCTAGTGAGCAGTTGCCAGCTGCTTGACAAGTGTCGCCATGCAGCTGAACAGAAGCGATCTCTCGGGAGTTAGATCCCTGGGCAAGAGAGTGTCCATTTGTCCCACTTCCTTGGAATGGGCCTGACCTGTAACGAAATGTTTTCCTGGGTCAAAAATGGTGCCATGATTGAAGCTCGCGCTGACTCCAAGACTGTGGCTGGTTGTTCGCTTCATCTGCTCTAGGTACGTGTGTTTTTCCTGTTGCTGCTGTAACAAATTGCCACAAGCTGAGTAGTGTAAAACACCACCAGTTTATTCTCTCGTAGTTCCAGAGGCCAGAAGTCTGAAATGGGTCTTGTTTGGTAAAACCGAGGAGTTAGCAGGGTTGCGTTCCTTCTGAAGTCTCCAGGGGGGAGAACCCATTTCCTCGCCTTTTCCAGTTTCTACGCCTGATATTCTTCAGCTTTTGGCTCCTTCATTGAAGCCCTCAGACCTCTCATCAACAGAAGTGATTACACTGTCCACACCTAGCTATTCCCTCATCTCGTTTTTTTTTTTTTTTTTTTAAATAGACATAACTCATTTTATTGTGCTTCGCTTTACTGTGCTTGACAGAAGTTGTACTTTTCACCAATTTGAGGCAAGACATTTTGAGTCAGTCGCTTTCTGGCGGTGGTTCGGGACCCACCGCAATCCCTCTGACGTCTGCCTGTACCTGAACTGGCTGCCCCTTTAAAGGGAGCAACCGGTTGCTACGGCCACGCCACCCTGAACATGCCGGATGGAAGCTAAGCAGGGTCGGGCCTGGTTGGTACTCGGAAGGGAGACCACCTAGGAAGACCAGGTGCTGCCGCGTAAAATAAATAAATAAATACATACAAAGGGAGCAACCGGAGGTTTAGCTGAGGGCGATTACATCCTGCAGCTGTCGCGAGCACCTTGTCCTCCGCCCAGTTCAGCGACTCCCCGGTTTTAGGCAGAGGTAAGCCTTGCTCTCGCTCGTTGCATCCTCTGTGCATGGAGGCGAGGGGCTCGCTCATTGCATCCTCTGTGCACGGAGGCGAGGGGCCACGCTTCGCTTCTCACGAGACCGTTGGCCGCCGGGCTCCGTTTCCCGCGTGCCCGCGCGGACAGTGTCTCATTGCCCGCGTTTCGCCGCCGCCAGCGCGCTCGGGCGCAAGAGAGAACGTGGCCCTGGAGACGCGACACGTTCGTTCGGCCTCTCCCGCTGCCTTTCTTGGACATGCACGGCCGTTCCCGTCTGGAACATGGGTTTTCCCGTGTTGCTTCTGACAGCCTGTGCGTTTAAGTGTTCGCTGGCGTATTTCACTTATAATTTCCTCTTTAAGGGTTTCCCTCTCGCCCTGCCCATGGTTTTGCCGTAAGGGCACAGACGCCCTGCGGTTCCAGCCTGTGGGTGAAGCACAGTGCTTCCCGCAGCCTTTGTGGGTGCACCGTGGTTCGTCGGGGTGCCAGCGCTGACGACGTTCGGCTGCTGATGTTGCTTCCTGCAACCTTCACAACTGCACACGTATTGTTTTTGCCGGTTTTCATGTTTGCTTTCGAAATGTTGAAGTTTGATCTTGTGTTGAATTTTTGATCACAGCCGGTAGCTGCACAGAAGGCTTTTCTGCAGCGTGAATCGGGGCTGGTGGCTCCGGTGGCAGTCCCTGACAAAGGCTTTGCCACACCCTTCACGGCACGAACAGTCTCTCTACTGTGCTCGCACGGGTGTGCATCTCACTGCTGGGCCTCGTGGTAATTGGTGCTGCAGTCGGGGGAGGAACAGATGAACCTGCTGGGGTGAGCAGAGTGTGGAGGGTGTCATGGTCAGGGATAACACAGCCTCGGGGATGGGCCAGCGACTCCAGGGTGCCCAAGGCCAGGTGCTCAGCTAGGGGCCGAGCCACCTGCGGGGAACCAGTGGCTCCAGGCAGACTGTATACCCAATTCCCAACTCCGTGTACTTCCGGGAACGCCCATCTTAAATTCTTTAACTTAATTACGTCTGCAAAGTTTCCTTTGCCATATAAGGCGCCACATTCGCAGGTTCCTTGGGTGAGAATGTGGATGTTTTGGAGGGTGATCCCAAGCAGTGTTGGGAAAGGCAGAGACAGTGTCACTGAGACTTGGGAGGACTTCCCTGGGGGACAAGGCTTCACGTATAAGGAGGTGATTCAGGTCAGAAGGAACCCCTGGCAGGTGTGGAGGGAGGGGCGGGGAAAGGAGGGGACCAACAGACAATGTTCCCAAGTCACATACAGCTACAGGTGACTGACTCTTAGTTCTGCTGGGAGAACTGGGTGCCAGGGTAGAGTACACAGCCAGGATGCATTCCACGAGAGATGCCAGATTGCTGGACATTTTAGACACCTCTTCCCCATCGGCCATGGGGAGAGGTCTGCTCCCAGGAGCCAACATCATCCCTTGGCATTTCCGGTCCGCTCAACAACAGGCTAAGGACCCCGGAGGCGAGTGAAAGCCCTCAGGCCACAAAATGCAGATCTGGCAGTTGGAAGTGATGGTCCTGAACAGTGGTCAAGGCCGGGGGGCGGGGCAGGTGGGCGGAGCAGTGACCTGTGCATAACTAGCATAACCAATGGATGGTTCCCAATGGGCTGTATCCCCCCCCCCCTGCATGGTGGTTATTTTATCACAGCTCAAATAGTCAAAAGAACAGGACCAAGGTACCACTTTAATGCTTCTGAAGTTATATTTTAGAACAGAACAGGATGATTAATAATTACCACATTTTATGGCTTTTGGGTTTCAGCACATTCAATTGAAGTCTGCATTTTGAATTATTTTGTAAAATGACAAACATTGACATGATGAAGAATGAAACAATGAAATCTTAAAAGATAATGACAAGTCGTACAAAGAACAAAGGCCTAGTAAGCGTAAATCTTCACTTTGTGGACTTCCTTGTCGTCACACTCCCTCTGTTTGTTGTAGTAATAGAAAGTATTGTCTCTTCTCTGAAGTTTCTTCACATATCCAGTCTCTGGCCAACGATCTACCTGCACATCACAAGCCAGAATACAAACACTGTCACGCTGGCTTCATTTTATACACTATTTTACGATCGAAGAGTTAAAAGTATGACAAAGAAACTTAAAGCATAAAATGTAAAAATGTTGCCGCTCCTAGTATTACCCACATCCAAATTCATCCTTTCACAGCAAAACAACTAATTTGGTGCCTCTCTCCAGATTCCAATTTCTACAATTAAACTTCTACTCAATAGGTAGAGAAAACATCCAAAATAATCTAAACTTTATTCTATGTTTATAAATGATTTTCAACGTAATTACTTCCTAACTTCTAAAAGTAATTCCCCAGGAGGAAATTAGGGCTAAGGCCAGACCCCATCCTGGAAACACCTAGAGCTGACTGTTGATGTCGCGACGGTGACTAAAGGAAACAGGTAAACTCGATATATTCAAAGGTCCATATGTATTTCCTCATGTCCATATTTCAAGTTCACTTTGAAACTCAGTGTTTAATGGACATTCGAGGTCATGAATATCATCTTCGGCGATCTTCTCTTACCTCTCCCACTATTCTTTCTCACACGTCACATCGGTTTGCTTACTTTATCGTTTGGCCTGATCTTATTTGGACATTTCCCCCGACTTCCTCTCCAGGTACATGTTATGCCTACTTAATCAGGTCCATGCGTTGCTGTCACTGGATATGTTTCTTCTGGATTTTGTGAGATGCACGCCTCTCTCGTGGTCAAAAACCTGTTATTCAGGTCTCATGGGCTGGAAAACCAAGTCCTATTCTTCAACACCATCTCATGGTTCCCGCTTAACCACAGCTTGCAAGTGGCATATGAATACAAAAGAATACATGTCCTAGATTACTGACAGCACGTTTTCATTCTCTTCTGTCGTCTCAGTTATTTGAGAATCAGCAAAATAGGTGGCAGCATATCTGATAAACCTTGGCAGGCTCTCTGACATCTATAGTATGGAAAAAAGTCAGGCTTTCTATCACTTATGTTGAGCTTGCCTTTCGTAGCTTCTACTGCTCTCAGCAGAGAAAGGAAGGTGTTCTCAAGACATCATTACAGCTCTCTTCCTCTTGGGGCCAGTGGCAGGTTCCCTTTCGTTGGCTGGGGTCTCCAACGCCATCTCATGCAGTGAGGAAACATTCGTCCAACTGCTGCTGCTTCAGAAAACACATGACCACTTCCTATGGGATAAAGAGCCTTCAAGCAGCTATATGGCTTCTGCACTCATCGACCTCTAGACAGTTTTCTTTTTATACCTCTTTGCTATTTCATAATTTTTTCTTCTTGGATTTTTACTTGATCGCTCTCATTTAGTTGAGGAGACCTCCACTCCTGAGACCCTGGTGGCCCCGAGCGGTATGGTCTTCAAGTTTAGCTGTCCACGGGCAGGGAGATAAGTCAGCACTGATATTGCCCATAAGGGCGGAGTGCCCCAGCTCAGAACAAAGAACTTCACTCACACCCTTCAGGCCACTGTCCACTGAGACATGCCACTCAAGGCAAGCCTGCAGTTTCCACCCTGCCCATCCTTTGAGGCCCACCGCGAATGTTCGTGCTGTGTTTTCTCCATTTAAAAGCCATAGATGACACACTAGTGAAGGGTACCTTTTGCTAACAGGGTCAAGAAAATGTTAGCAGGTGTCAGAAGATGACTAGGGTTGGCCCTCTGTATCCGTGGGTCTGTCCTCTGCAGATCCAACCCATTGCAGATCGAAAATATTTTTAAAAATCCAGTTAAGTTCCAAAAAGCAAAACTTGAAGTTGCCACATGCCAAGCATTAGGCTGAATCCACATGAATGAAGCGATGTGTAGGCATACCCTACTTTAGCCTACATGCAAATGTAGGTCATATGGAAATACTACGCCATTTTATGTAAGGGCCTTGAGCACCTGCAGATTTTGGTATCTGTGAGCGGGGATGGGTCATGGAACTAACCCCCAAGGATACTGAGGGAGGACTGCAGATGAAAATCAGTCATAAAATCTCCATTGAATCAGTGTTTTTAGCTTCATTCCTCACCAACCCTACTAATGTCTGTTAAATTAAAGAGTCTATTGCATTTTAGCTCTGTAATATCATCATTCCTTTTCTTGTCTTTTTAAAAGAAATATTAAGTAGAGATCAAAGAGTTGAATGAAGAAGAGAATATAGAGATCTGAAAAACCCAGAGATAAATTAGTCTCTGGAAAAATGGTAAATACTAAAAAAAAAATGAAAATAAAAAATCAAGTTAATAATTTGTTGTAACCCCAAATCTAAACATTAAAACATTTACAAATACTATGTCATATTCTATAATATTCTTAAAAACTCAATCTTCTAGTTTCTAGTAGAATAGATGATTTTTTGAAAAAAATCACATTCTAAACTGGTTGCCATGTCTAGATTTTGATGTTTTCTTTGTAAAGCAAAATCATGTCTCTAATCTCTCAACTGGAATGCACAACCAAAGTCAGGAATTGTTCTCTAATTTTTTTGTCACTTATAATCTCCATAATAAATAGAATTTAACCCTTTTATAATTTATGGTCAAAATAAAAGAGAAACTATAAAGAAATAATAGTTACGCAACAAACTGAGTATCCAATAATAGAATTGCCTAAGTGAGGGAAAAAAGATTCTGCTTTTATGGTTTACCATAAGAGATTCAATAAAAGCTGGAAAATTCTTAATATTTCCATGGTGAGGGACCACCTCTTTCTCCACTCTGCCTGAAAATCTCTCTTCTGGCCTTGGTCTCCTTCCTCATCAATTAAATGAGAGAGTTGGAGTAGAATTCCCTGTTAGTTATTTTCAGGCTCTTTGTCTTATTTTGATCCTTTACATCGTCTAACAAACTCATTGTGAGTTCAGGTTTGTAGGACATAAATCTTACCATAGAAACTTGTTTCACTTGTTTATATTCAATTTCATCCCGATACCCTGCTTGTTGAAATCTGTACAGATTTTCTATCTCTTCCGACCATTTTTTGGCACGACTGATTGATTTTGGTTTCACGTCAGAACTAGCCATGGTTACAGACGTCTTGTTACCAATTAATTCTGAAAGATATTAAAGTGAAATTAATAGAGGACATAATAGTGACAATTTGAAAGTCCCTTTAAGAATAAACAAAATTAGCATTTAAAAATAGAGAGTTGAGAATCCTATTCAATATATTAAACTTTAAACATCCAGTTCCGAGATTGAGAAGGAGTCGCGTTCTATTTTGGAAAAAAATAAACCCCGAAAGGTACATAGAGAACTGTTGATTTATTCATCAAATAAAATAGCATTCAGAGTTATGGAGTGCAGTCCGAAAGGCCGGAAACTAATTCTGGCAATAGTTATTCTAGGCAATAATAGTTGACACATTTCTGAAATCACACCCATTTTTAACTGCTTGGCAGATTGGCAAAATATCCCACTACCGTTCCATTTGATTATGTTCAAAACTACATCTTTTTTTTCCTTCCTAAAAAGAAAACGTAAGGTTTCTCTTCTCACGCTCTTCTATTTCCCCTCGCTGGAAGCAGAGGTTTCTTTCCTCTCATAATAGATCTGATAACCAAGATGGCTACTAAGTGACTAAGGGGCGGGGAGCATCTACAGCGTGGAGATGCTGGACAAAGGGATGATTCATGTACTAGGTGTGAGGGAGCCTCTGGCACCTGATTTCATCATGCTACTCAGATGGGCACACATTTAAAATGGACGATTTCTTCATTCTCGAACTTTCCATGGAATATTTTCCCATGGTTGACTATGGGTAACTGAAACCATGGAAAATGAAACTGCAGATAAGTGGGGACAACTGTGTGCGTCTGTGTGCTCTCAGTTCAGGTACTCAGAAAAGCAGACGCCAAGGTAGAGTACCAGAATTTATCCGGGGTAAAGCTTATGAAACATAAAGAAAGAAGGAGCAGGAGTCTGAGGGAAAAGCTTTTATACCATGATGCATGCCTGACACCTGGGGATGGAAAAGGAGAAGGTAGAATTGGGGCGAAAGAGCTCCAGAGGCCAGTGGGGAAATCCAGCATGAAGAATGCCTGTGGAGGACCCTTGCTCTAGGCAACACTGGTCGGGCCTAGTACGGCCACCAGTTTCCGTCGTTGACTGGGAGCGACTGGGGGCCTGCTTGACCTCAGCTCAGTTTGAACTCCGGTTGGATCTCAAAGGCAGAGGGGAGTCAAATGACTGCAGGGAGCAGCAGCTTCTCTCTGTGGAGAAGTGCTCCTCCGCCTCCGTGGCTGCTCGTCTAACTTGCTAAAATGTTGAATTCTTCCGAGCCACAGATAAAGTCATAGGCTATTTTTATTTTCGGCATATATTATTGTCCCTGAAACTCAGTAAGTGCTTGACAAATGCTTGGTGAAATGAGATTTTTAAATGCAATATGGCGAGTTAGGCATTATAGATGCAAAATGTATATAAACATGTTATTCGATCATATAAATCTTATGAAAATATAAATGACACTGTTAGGTCACAAAACTTGGGTGACACAGGAAAAGGTACTAACAGAAATTGCTCCAGGAGGCCTGGCAAATTCCATATTCCCAAAGACACCTCAATAATAGACTTTAGTTATAGCTCCACAGAAATCAATTTACAAATGTGTTTGGCCCAAGCTCGGATAACTAGTGAGGCTGAGGATGATAGATACAAAGTTAAGATCTAAGAGTACTGAGCGTGCAACTATGTTTGCAATCACATGGTACATCCTGCAACTCTGAAATTGACAAGATCTGATGTGATCCTTGCTCATTCAAACTTAGCATGTGCAACTGTGTGTCCGCTGATAGATCTCATTTGAGGGTGCTATAAGCTCACACATCCATCTATCATTTAACAATGCTTCTATTTCTCTGTCGTCTATTCTAACCTAGCTGACTTCTTTGTTTATTTAGATAGTTAAATCATTTGATTTTCCCGAGTGGTATCTGTGTATGGCTCCTTTCATCAATCTAAGCCTATTATTAACATTTTCAATATGGCACTTTATGCAGATTGGTGGCAACAGTGGGACTGAGGCAGAAATTCTGAGACCTGTCATGGCTATATCTCTGAGGAGAAAGTTCTGGGATAATAGAAAGCAGGGGAATGAAACTGCGATGCCTAGTTGCTCTGCTGACGCTCTATGATTTGAGATGACAAAGACCTCAATGCAAGTGACATAGGTAAAATTTTTCAGTGAAGAATGAGTAATATGCCACTAACTCTCAAAGGTCTGGCCGTCTGGGTAAAAACTAATAATAAAAACTTACAATGGCCAAGTAATTCCGACACAGAGACAAGGGACTCTTTAAAACAGGGAGTGATAGGAAGTGGAGGTAAAAAGCAAAGGTTACAATTAACATACAGATTTTTACCACATTGGGAGTCATGATGGGCTGAGGCAGTCAGTGGTTGCTTGAAGAAAGAGGTGAGTTTGAATCTAGTTCTTAAAGAAAAGGCATAAATAATGGGGCAGGCATTGCAAGAGAGCATTATGACAAAAAAGGATTACAGAAATAGAAGTGTACCATGTTCTAGGTAAATTATTTGTTCATTTATGTATTTATATCTTGCCTTGTTGCAAAAAGGGTTTGGGCAGATTGTTGGGATACTATACTGAAAACAAATTGTGTAGGACCTTTCATTTTAGACAATAGAATTTAATTATTCCATGAAGGATGAAGCGTGTCAGTCAGAATTGTGTGATAAATTTCCATCTTTTAGCAAAATGTAGAATTATGATTGGACATGAAGATTTTTGTGTGTGTGTGTGTGTGTGTGTGTGTACACTCATATGCAGATGCCCAATTAATTTCTAAGGAGTACCTTTAGGAGGGATGAACATCTTTTCAGTCTGTACCACAAGTAAGGCAAATATATTTTGCCTTATGTGTGCATCTATGGCACAGTTGTTTCATCTTATGTTGTAACTTGTGAGACTTATAAAAAGCTACATATAAAAGAGAAGGCTAAAGAGAGTGGGCAGCAGACCAACAGCATGATGTCAAACACACGAGTCTACTTGCGGGGCATCTAACTGGGGCAAAGGGATCTTAAGGAACTATACTAAGGGACAACTAAGAGAGCACACCTTCCTAAACTACACTGATAATCCATTGTCCTTATCCAACTGGTACTCCCTAAATCTTTTATGCCTCAGAAGCAAGCAGTTGGCATGGGTACGTAATTTCATCATTGTTTTTCAATAGCTCAAACTCAGAGAGTATACATGAAGAGTTCAATTATAAAATCATTGGCATGTCCAGGCAAGAGTAAATGGGGGAAGAGGGGAGAACTGGAAATAGAAGAAAAGAAATACAAGATATATCACGAAGAGTTGGCAGGATCTGGCAACCGATTAGATGTGGGGGGAAATGCTATATTTACTAAAAGCAGAAAGTATGCTACATTCAGTTGAACTACTGGGGAAATTGCCATTTTTCTCCTCAGTAGAAATACACCTCTTTTAGATACATCAAGCATTTCAAAACTTCTTCACAAAAAGCTAAAGGGAACATGAATGCATTTCACTGTAATAGCAACGTTAGTGGCTACTATAACTATATAGTGGTGGTGCAAATTCCTCGTTTCTTTTATAACTTACTACTTATTAAAAACACAGAATGTAACTAAAATTAGGAAAGGTCAACTTAATACTAATTCTGCTAGTAACATTCAGCACTTTGAAATTTACTGGTTTTACTGACAGCGATGGCAAAAAAAAATAATTGATATAAAATACATTCTATCTCTATACTACTAAGCCGTATCTGCAGAAACAGGAAATGGCAATGTCTGACTTTCTAGTTTGTAAAAATCAAATTTCGTTAGGGCTTATATGGGCATTAAAAAAAAATAAAACCACCAATATCAAACCCTGGACAATCTAAGGTTCTAATCTGATCTAACAGTAGAACCTTTTGATCTAGCCAGCCCTCTCAAACTCCCTTCTTTGCAAAACCCCTTTTCATCTCTTCTGCTCTAAAAAGTGCTTTTACTTTTAGTGGCATTAAAACCCTAAGAGCATTAGTATCTCTAATCTTCCATTTCTTTCCCCATTTTATTTTTTCTGTTCCTAGACACAGCAGGATATGGCAGAGGCGCCCGTTAACTAGCCTGTAACCTTGGTCAAGTCAGTTAACATCCCTGGGCCTCAGTTCCTTTCCAAAGTTTTTGCATGTTCAGTTGAAAAAAACAATATTGGTTCCCCAAATAGGCCTTCGTGGTCCAGGGTACGGGTGTGCTAACCTGCATTTGTGCAGGACAAAAATCCCTCCATTCCGGCCCGCACAACTAAACATCCCTTCTCCGGTCCCTTAAACATTTTTCTTTTTTTTTCTGCCAGAAACCACCAGTTGTGTCTGTAAAGTAAATCCTGTCTAGAGAAGGCTGAGGCAGAGAAGGTATTCTAAAAACTGGGGGCCCAATGACTGGCCCAGGGAACGATCTCTTAAAGAAGCCCCCAGAATCGCAGCCCCTAAAGCCGAAGGGGGCAAGGGGTGGCTGGGAAAATACTGGAGAATCAGACTCTGAAACTCAACAGGGACTAAATAAAGTCCTTCCCTGGAAGAGAAGAAGGTAACGTCAAACCAGAAGCAGGTAGGACGAATCTCTGAACAGGCGATGGAGAGCAGGGGCGGAAGGGGCGGGGCCTGGGCTTCCGGGGCGGGGCCCAGGCGGGCGCAGGGGCGGGGCGAGCAGGGCCGGCCCTTCAGCTGCAGTCCACCCAGCCCTGGTCCGGCTCTCTGCGGTTACCCAAGCTCAGCCGACCTGGAGAGGCTGGGGCGGCCCGCCCGGGAGCTCGTAAGAGAGCGCGGAGGTGCTCGTGTTCTCCGCTAGGGGCCCTGGGCGGGGCAGCGAGAGGCCAACTGTCACGGCCTGGGAGACCTTTGAGTCTCCTAGCAACGTGTGGCTTCCTCTGGAGCGCCCAGCTCGAGATGCCCTGAGAACGGGCTTGTGTGCGCATGCCCAAGGGAATGGAGGCCGACCCCAGAGAGGGAGGGAGCCTTGAAAGGGTTCATTCCTAAGAAAAGATGGAGAGTGAAAAATGTTAT